CACATAAAATAAAAAATTTATATCTTTATGTTTGAAGCCTGAAATGTGGCAAAAGGTTGAAAAGTTCAAGGGGGCCGAATACTTTCGCAAGGCACTGTATATACTGACCCCATTACAATACTGGGATATTAGGACCCACACCCCCTACTGGCACCACTAACACCTCTTTCAGCAGCAGTCTTAGTTTTTTCCCAGGAGGTCTCCCATATGGGTACTGACCAGGCTCACACCTGCTGAACTTCAGTGGGCTGCCAGCTGTGAGCTGCAGGGAGATAGTGTATGGCTACTGGCAAAATACTACTATATACTACTATGAATATACTTACACAGCAAACACATTCATTTAATTTAGTTTTCTATACCCCATTGCTCGTAGACTGACAAAGAGAAATTAGTTTGAATTAAATTATTTTCAGTGCAATCATTGCATCAGTTCTAGGTATATACTACAGTAAATGTGACAAAGGAAATTGCCTCATTATATCAAAAGATTAAAGAACTGTGTAAGACTGATCCACATCTCAACCTTTCTTCACTTCTGGGCTAAACTTCAAAACAGTCAGGCTTCACTGGGAGGAAGTTAGAGAGGCAAGCCATCTTAGTAGAACTGCAGAAAAGCATTGCTTTAATCTTCTCCATCACATCAGTGACTACAGACTCTGACACAATTTCTCAGGGTAAACATGCCCGTTGCATTGTCTGATTATGTTAAATAATCAAAAATAAAACAGAAGCTCTCGCAAGAGGTGATGCTTGTAAATGTGCCAAGGCAGAAATACACTAAAGCACAAAGAGTGGCCTTTTTCAGACTTTAATGTTGTACATAATTTCTTTTGAGGAGCAAGTGCAGTTCAAAACACAGGTGACACAAATAATATTTTCTGAAAAACACAGGTTTTCAGCAGCTACAAATGAGAAGAAGGCATTCGGCCTACGGTATGTAGCCAGTCTGATAGTTAGTACTTGCAATCAGGATCTGATCCTGCCATTTTTTGAAAGATGCCAGGGTGGGTATCAGCCTAAACAGCATGACTGAGTAGCTTACATTGCGATTTATATTAATGTACTGTAGGTAACACTTTGTCTACAGAAGTGTCTCCAGTTCTCAGTTATACAGTAAATACACATCCACACAGTTTCCACTTATGACCTCTGGTTTGTGATTCACTCTTTTTTCTGAAGAATTTGAAAGAGTTTGAGTTGATGTGTTTATGCTGAAGCAGTCTGGAATGTCTGACTGGCATTATCAGAAAGCCCCAGAAGGAAAGTGTTATTAACTTTCAACTCTCCTTTGTTTTTAAGCCCCATGTTTGAGGATGATGTTCCCTCTGTGCTGGAATTAGAAATGGAGGACCTGGAAAAATGGATGATAAAGAAAGACTGTAAGTTTACTTTAACCCTTCTGTACATTTGTCTATTAAGGGGGCATTTTCATCAAGTGGTTCTTATAAATAAATTGATTAGTCAAGTATTATTGTATGATATATCAACCAATGTAAAATCTCCAGTTGTTTTACGACTCTACACTCAGGCTGGAACCTAAGTTAGTTTTCAGACTGAATGTATGTAGAACATAATTTAATATGAATATGAATATTAATCTCGGGGGTTCTTTAGTATTTAGTGTTTCATAAGGAGAAACACTGAAAAACAAAAACTTGTTTATACGAGACAGTATAGTATCTTGTTTATACGAGAAAATTATTGTGTTTGTACTACTTTGCATGGGACATATTGATATACACTACGGTACAATGCAATACAGTATACAGTATTAATATAGTAGCCAATTTTTTTCACAAATTAACTATTGTGTTTAAGCGCAATCATTTTCTCGTATAAACGAGATACGTTTCTCGTATAAACGAGGTATTTTGTTCCTCTGTGGCGCTAATAAGCTTCCATAGTTTCAACGTGCTATCGGTAGTCTGCGATACAACGCTAGCTGAGCATCGTCGGTATCTGGCCATCACTCTCGCTGTCAGACAGAAATAGCGACCCTGTGCGGTCTTGTTTTGAGTTACGTGAGAGGAGATACTATTTGTTCATAGTATCCCATAACAAATCACGTATTTTAACAAGAAGTTATTTTAAAAATTACATAAATGTTTCACTTATTCAGTATAGTCTACTTAAAACTAATAGGTCATCGAAGTGACTTTCTTTGTAACATGAGGAAAATCAGGGCATTATATTGTTTTGTAACTTCTAAACAGTCGCATGAGGTGCTGCAGATATTTGATCCTGTTGAGCTTGCTAGCACCGACTCTAGCTCTGTACAGTTCAAGCTGGCTGCGTCGACTACGTTGAGACAAATATGAACGACACAGTGGTCACCTCAGGTGTTTCTGTTTCGCCTGTTGAGCCTTCTTCAGGTGTCACGCTGGGGAGTACCCATGTGAAAAGCAAAATATTTTTCCCGGAGCAAACAGTTTGAAATACCTGACTTGAGCCACACCTGGGATTTAAACCCACATTCTGCTAGTCTTGAGTCCATTGTGCACGGACGCTGAAGCAGCTCCCCTCTTGTAATATGATCGTTTTCCTTCTTCAAAGTACCAATGAGATAATTTGGTTTGATGTTCTAACTTTTCAGATGCTTCAGATGTATCTTATTTACAGATACGTAGAGCTATATTTAATACAGCAATTTGAATGTTGCTCTTGGATAATATAAGAACATAAGAAAGGTTTGCAAATGACAGGGAGCACTTTTCCTCGTTTGGTAGTTTGGTAGGCGAGTGAATCTAAAATTTTGTCCAGCTCCTTCTTAAAAGTGACCAGAGTTTAGGCAACTCAATCACTTCGCTAGGAAGCCAGTTCCTCAAGATTTCCAGTTATGACCCCATATCCTTCTTTCTGTTGTGTAAAACAATCCCCAGGGCTGAACTTATCTTTAACCCTGTATAATTATATGTACCTTGATCAAATCTCCTCTCAATCTCCTCTGTTCTATAAATTTAGGTCCGTATGAGACAATCATCTTTGATCAGGAATCATTCTTGTTGCTCTTTGGACTCTTTCTAAAGTGCATTTTAGTTATCAAACACATCTGCCATGTTTTTCCTATGTACTGGATTTAAAAGGAATATAATTCTAATAACAATTGTAACTCAAGCTCGGGGTCTCTGCAGTACATTTTTGTATCAGCAGAGGGCTCCGTTGCCTAATTTGTCGCTTTCTTTCATGTTATTACTGATGCATGGCCTCCCTCTCTGTATAATCAGCAATACCAAGAATGATTCCTTAAGGTTTTTGTTTCATAGGTTCCTTTATTTAACTAGATTTGTCAGTTGTTAAAAAATTCTCATTAACTTTGATGTGGCGAGAAGAAACCATTTATACAGCAAGACATTTTTACTGGAGCAATCGGGCTGAAATACCCCCCTCAAGTGGGCATCATTAGTGCTGCACCTGGGATTTAAACCCTCAACCAGAACCATTTATGTTGCTGGGTTTATTTGAGCAGTCTGGATATTGTACCTGGCTCAAGGCTCAAGCAGTACACTCACCTGAGACTCCCGTCAGGAGTCTAGAGACCTAACCACTACCTTATCCCTAACGCCTCTCCATCAGGCATATTGTAGCAGGGAAAACCAAGCAGTGAGAAAACTATCCTCTCAATACAATGTAAGTAATACAATCAGACTGAATGTAACCGGACATGGTAAACAAGTGCAGTTATTAGGTAGAAACTGTTAAACCGCACACTTGGAAATGCCCTCAGGTACGGTATATGCAGTATGTAGTAGAGTTATTTGAAGCAAAAATGTTGTATATCTTTTTTAATATCTGTGTAATCTCACCCTTAACTACACATTCCCCCCTCAAGTGACGAAGCAAACGTTTCAATCTTCTCGTTACAGCTGGAGGTGAAGTGTTAGAGCCGGGAAAGGAGACGTAACCTGGCTTTCAGGTGGGAATGCATCACTGACTCTCTCATAACGTCTTTAATGCAGAAAAGTGAAATAAGGCTTTTAGGAACACATAAAGGTGGTTCTGGTGAAAGCTCTCTTTTGGGAACAAGGGTTAACTCATTTTACCTGATCAAATTCGATTCCAATGCAGCGCCAACATCTTTTTAGGTGTGATGAGACCAACCAACCAGATTTATTTATTTGCACTTATAGGCCAGAACTGCAGTTAATTGTATAGTGCCAAGTGAGAACACTGTTACTATTTAGAATAATGGTCAAAGAATAAGATGTACATAGAAAACGTAACCATATCTAGACACTCAGAAAGCAGATGAAAAAGGAGCCCACAACTTCGGCTGAACAGAGTGTTCTCAAGGGACTAAGAACTAGCTTCATACAATATCATCTACAAGGAGTCAGGTGTTCTCTGTGAAGGAAACTTAGGTGGGTCATTTGATGATTAGGATTTTAAAAAGCAGAATTTATGTTATCTAAGGTGTTGCCACAGGACATCGCTTCATCTGCATGTCCCTGTTCCGAATAGTAAAAGCAGCTAATGTAAAGTCTTTAATAGAAAATTATAAGCAAAAGAAAATCAATCCCTTCGTTTTGTCACTGTTTTATGCAGCAGAATATGTATTGGGTGCGTAGACAGGTTCGCCCTCCAGGGGGCGCCATAAACTCACTATAGGAGACATAAGCAGAAATAAAGCAGAGCCATGAAGTATTTATGCATTCCGATTGCAAATACCATGTTTATCATAAAATATCTGCTAGGATGTGTATCCCCTCGCTTTGTCAATGTGGAAAAGAGAAAGGAGGGTTTCATTTAAGGAGCACATGATTAGAGAACATAGGAGAAAGGGTACGTCATGTTTTCTGTGGCATTGCGAATCTTATATGATAAATTGTTTAATTACGGATCCGAAACACAATCTGCAGCACCTTCCAAAAGAACTGGGCCAGTGAAATCTAAACTCAGACTGGATCAACCAAGAAAGACATCTGCAGATGATGATGGAAACATCATCAGCACAGGCAGTAGAATTTTAAAGGCTACAAAACAAGATATAAGCTCTCATTAGCCCCCAAAGCAGAAAGTCCAGATTATTCTTTTGAAATGTAGCAATAGGAAGGTTAAAGAGTTGAGAAAGAAAGGAACTGCAGATGCCCCAAAGAACACTCCCTCATATGGAGACATGGTGGAGGAAATGTCATAGACTGGGTATGAGTGCCTGCCTCTGGGTCTGATTAACTCATTTTTATTGGTCATTTAAATAATTGTGGAAGCAGCAGGAATTGGAGCCGTGGTACCTCAGATGGCAAGGGTAGCTCTGACGTCTGACCAGAAGGGCCAGGGATCAGTCCCAGATAGGGTCAAGTGATGTAGCTTGCTCTCATTCCTTCCAGACAGCTCCCAGGTCCACTCAGCCTGCCTCCCACATGAGTACTGGGGGTTAATTGTTCTGGGGGTAATAGGCCCGCCAGAGTGTGATGCTGACCACATGACCTCTACTTCCAGTGTTGGATGGTCCAAAAAAAATGGTGGCCTTTGCCCCCCATTCCCCCATGGGCCTTTAAGACCTGAAAAGGGATCTACCTACCTGCCATCAGGAATTAAATCTGAAATTTAAAGAAATAATTTAGCTGCTTGCTTTAAAAAGAAAAGGCTTCCAAACCAATTGGACTTTTTTGTGTAACATGATAATGAGATAAAGCATAATCAATGTCAAGATTTGAATCCTGCTCAGGATTCATTTTACATGCCGAAGAAGAAACTGAAGTCTAAACACACCAATAATAGGCAAGAAACCCAAACTGCTGCAACAAAGCATCTCAAATAATTACACAAAGACCTGATGCAGTTGTTGACTTTCAGTGAGACAAGATGGCCCAGAATACTGACTTTTACACCCTGAAAAGCACATCAAAGTGAGCGTGTCCCAGTACTAAAGGTCTCTTTAAATCCCTGGCTGATGTTTTTGTTCTTATATGGTTATGTGAGCATGAAATGACCCAGGAAATAAAATGTATTTCATTCTTATATTAATATTCATATTAATGAATAATTGTAATTACAAATTCCCTGACTGTAAAGCCAGTATAAGTTTTGATTTTGCTGTGCTAACACTTTTGTAGTGTTTGATGTCAAAGGTGTACACTAGATTAAATTAAATCTTTGAAGCGCGTATGGGGAGGACAAGCTTTCTTCAAGAAACAGGAGTGTCAGGATTAAATCCAACAGTGATTGCAGCACAAAGTAGTAGAAATGAAATTTAAAGTTTGGCAGCGCTAGGCTGCCTGCAGAGTTCTCGCACTGTAGAATTAAGAATTTAATACATGGTGGCTTAGGAATTAAAGCTTATATTTTCCCTTGAATATCTGAAGTACACACACTAGCTGACATATGAGGATCGATTGAATCAAATGGATGGACTGTTTCAGTGGCGGGCAAACTGCAGAGATGAGACAGACTTCCATCACCTTCCCTGTCCAGAGCAATCCCCAGATCTCAATCCTGCTGAAAAATGATGGGCGCAGTGAAACATGCAGTCCAATCCCACACACCATTACCCTCATCACAAGCTCAAGTCAAGGTTATCCGGCTCGACGCAGGGGATGGGACTGGGTTGCACGGGCTCAGAAGCTTGCGGAATACCTGCCATATCCAAGCTGCTCCTGCTGCTCACAGAGGCCCGACATCACATCCAGAGGGAATAGGGAATTCAGCAGGGCCACCTAGCGCATGTTCTGATTACTGCAAGCAGAGATGTTCACTTCTGAATCCCGAGAGATTACTGTATGTGGAATAAACTTTGATTCAATTGTTAGAAGAGGCCTGTTTGTGTTTTACTGCTAAACTCCTCCAAAATGCTCCTGAGTTCAGTGAGTGAATCTGACTGTAAGCCCCACACAATAAATTATTCATAATTAATCTGAATGTCCTTAGATGCTATTAATCGCATCTTATGTTTTAGATTTTACAGCATTACATTGGCGCTAATTCTGCAGTTAGTTATACTGCAAGGTATAGTAATTAGTACGAATCGTCATGATCATATCGGCAACAGTATAGGAGTGTAAAGAAATGAAGTGAATTAAAACAATGGTGATTCATTTGATCTCTTGGAACTATTCAGAGCACAAAAAAAAACACGTACAAAAACAGCTTGAAAACTTCAACATAGGGCTAAGTAAAAAAACCCCACTACAAGTAAGGGAATTAAAATTTCTTACCATAACACACCTATAATAATCAAAACTTGGATTTCCTTAAATAACCAAAAGGATTTCTGGTTCCCAATTCAATAGTTTTGAGACTCCATGGTGTATAAAACAGAAAAAAAAAGAATAAGAATTGGTATATGTGAAATAATATGGAAACTACTAGTTTACTTAGCACCATTGAGGGGGTAATTAGAATCAGCTGGTTAAATATCTGGATCATTATTATAAATTATATAGTTATAATTAGCTTGAATTCCCATAAGCTAGTGAAGAGAGACAGAAAAACTGTTACTGGAAATGTCTAGTTAAGGGCATTGGTACTGAAAGAGGTGCTACCTGTAAGGAAAACTCACAACCATATTCATAAGGAAATATTTACTGTTGGATCATTCTGTTATTTCAATAATCTTGTATCTTTGTATTATATGTTTAATTAGGCTACCTTCATATTTTATGAAGACTTTCTTGAAGATCCCGTTGCGTTTTAGATATGCCAACAAGCACAGGGGGATTTTCACAGCATTTTCACAGTTTTCACAGCTCTGCCTTTTTGCTGTATCAAGGCCAGACTTGATAAGTCTCTACCAAGATCATTTTAACATGCTGCCTGTCCTGCCCCGAGTGTTAAGTTTTCCTATATGGAAGTGAAATAGCCAGGGATAAAGAGGATACAGGTTCAGGTAGGGTTATCATACGACTGGATTTTCTCAGACATATCCTCCTTTTTGCTCCTTATATCTCCCTCTGGGAGGAATTTTCAAATATCTTAAAATGTCTACAATACTTCCCTTATTATTTTTCCCCAAAGGCTTTCGATTCTTAACAACTCTTGTACAATTATCTGCTGGTACACATCTCATCAGCAGCCCAACTTCCCTGAGTGAATTTTCAAATACGGTAATCCTAGATTTGATAGTGGTAAACAAATCACCAGCTCCCCTGCTATAAACCTATACAGGAGACCGGGATTCGATAGTTCAGTAAAATACATTCACATGTTCAAGTACTAGAAGTGGGCCCTGTTGCCTTAGAGCTCTTTGGACCTGGATTTCAAAGAAGAAAAGTGATGTCACTGCAATATATAGCTGTGATACTCCTTCCAGTAGCACAAATTATAGATGGGGGCATGTACATCACAAACTATACAATGTTGATGTTTGCAATGATACAGGTACCTGTTTTAAGGGCAGAACAGCAGGCCACAAGCAATTGTTGCTACACTGTGTATGTATGAAAAGGCCCCAAAAAATCCCAAATCCAAAACAATTCAGAGGACAATCACAGCTGCTCAATGTATCTTTCAAACACACCGTGCATTTGTATTACTGTATTTGTTAAAAACTGGAAACAGTGCTCTCTGGCAGTTATGAAAGGTATTAAAAGTTTGAAGGTTCTTCTCTGTTCTACTGCTACTAAATGCTACAGTACATGAATTACCGGTTATTGTGGTTACTTAGTATAATGGTGCTTTCAAGAGCTTTGTAAGTTGACTCTTGAGCACACACTATACATTCCCTTCATGTTAACATACTACTTAAATATACCTGTTTAGCAAAATAGAAAAATGTTGTAGGCCAATGATTCATAAGTCATTTGTTATATATATCATTTAGGCACATTTTTAGTAGATTTCTCGGAACTAAATTGTATTTTCAAAAATCAACTAGGAGCAGTTCAAATAGCATTTTGAATGCATTCATTAACAAAAACTAAACGTAATTGGGAGTACTTGTGAAGTATCTGTTTTACAAAGTTTTGTTTGTAAAGAGCTGCAAGGGAAAGTTGTGATAAAGCTGCTTCCTTGCAGTTTATGGGATTGATTGTGAAGCTTGCATGTTGTCTCCATATTCACATGAGTATTCTCCATCCTCCCACCTGTGTGTGTCCCTATGTGGATGGACTGGCTTTACATCCAGGCTGTACCACCTTGTGCCCTATGTTTCCAGGATAGGCTCTGGGTTCCAAACCAGGAACAAACGCTTTTCCGATGATGGAACACAGGAAGAGCTTGTAATCATTTCCCACTTAAGTCAAGGGAAAATTTTAATGGTGTTCTATATAGGTTAGTCAAAATAAAGTAATCTTAAAGGGTATATCATCAACAATATAGGAGTTCTGGCAGTTCTTATTGTGTTAAAGTATCTTAGATTTAATGGACTGCAGTATGAACTAATGTCTCCTGCCTGCACTGATTGTCATTGCTCTCACAGAGGACAGAATGGCTGTGTAAGTTTTGAACTATGACCCACAGCTCTCTTCTTCAGCCATGGTGTTTGAACAGTAGAACAACTGTAGCATCTGTTAGCCATTATGCAAGCATGCGTGGAAGTGTGGCCCTGCTCAGCATGGGTTGGCCTTTAATTTGTGTTTTGAGGTCAAGGTCCATTAGCCAGGGTATGAGCTCATGTCTTCTTCAGTCATCTTTCCCAGGTTTCTGTATGCCAGTAAATCTGAGATGCAGACGTGAACCCTAGACAGGCTTTTAAAACAGGAGGCAGATGGTGAAGACACCAAGCTGGAGATTATATTAATTTCAAAAAGGAGGCTTCCAGTTAAGTCATTATTTTCTTAATAATACATCTAATAAAGATACATTGCTCTGATTTAACAACGAATAGAGGTTTTGGTCGTTTGGGTCCAGCACAGAAACAGCAGTGATTACTATTAAAATGGAGGTGGGCACAGCTGTGATTGTCTTATATTCAATTTAAATTTTATTTTCACTTCAGATGTCTAAGTGAGGTCAAATTAAACTCCCTGCTGTGTTATATTGTACTGAAAAGGCTTTTTCCCCACGAATCCAGCACTGTTCTCACAACATCATGCAATCGAATGAAAAGCTTTATACAGGAGATACATCACCCACAAACAGGGTCACAAATTAACTTGCTGTTGTTACAGAGGAGTCCCTGTGAGTGTGGTTTTCTTGAGCAAAAGAAAGGAAACCACAGACTCCGTCAAAGAAGCACAGTTGTCAGGTTCTATAGTACTTGATAAGAGCCATAAATACAGTTAGTCTGAAGCCTAGTTGTTAACTATTTAAACACTGCTGAAAAACTGAATTTCCAAAAGTGATTGTTGGATGGATGTCTTTATTATAATTAGTAATATTAGGATGTTTTCATTGCAAGACATGAAAAATCATTGGTATATACAGAAACTGACTTGGATTACAATAGCTGCAGTGACACAACATATTGATTTGTACTCTTTCCCTACATGCTGACCTGGTTGGATTAGAAACAGTTAAGTGTTTAAGAAATTAAACTTTCAAAAGTCCTTCTTCAACACATGCCTGTTTTGAGCCATCCCATATTAATACACAGTTAGAACAGACAGTTGCTTACATATTGCTTTGCAACTTTTGTAGTGCTCATATACTTTTACAAGGAAATGGCACACCTTAATGAACACTTTCACGTTTTGAGGTTTTGAGCTTAACACTTGTACACAGCGCTTTGGGTGGTATATTTTGACTACAGAAAATATTCCCATAAGGTGCTTCTCCCAAATATGCATACTGTATGCTTCCTTAGTTACTTTGCAATTAAACTCTGATGTGTCTATAAGAAAACCTGGCCACAGATACTGCCAAGTCTTCCGAGTTGGTTGCTGTGTACAGCAGATGGCGCTGTTCAGTGATCAGGAATTAGTCCCTCTGCTGACTTCGCAACCAATATTAGTGGCACTCAGATAATTACTTTTTTACAAGCACCAATGACTCTCTGTGACTACCAATACGCTTGAAAACCACCTTATCCAGGTTCATAGATTTTTTTTTCCCCTGGTTCAAACCTTGGAATGGAATTAATCAAAGACAAATCATTGTAATTGTTCTAATACTGTGGTATTTCTATATCCCCTTGTTTTGAATTTTCTCAAGACAGGTACTTTATAAACTACTGACCTACCTGACCTGCTTATTGAGCAGAAATGTTTTGATTGTCAGCTGCTTTGTGCCCTTCATTACAGAGATGAGTGTAACCAGCTAAAGAACACGTATGAAAAGCTTTTCTTGTGGAATCCTAAATATTTTTTATGTCTGTTTTCCAGTCATTGATGAAGAGGTGTGGCAGCTGTCTTTGTTTCCTTCACCATTTCCTGTAACTCTCATACAATCAACAGCTCAGTTCATCTGGAAAATACATCATCACTCCTTAGGATCTGGGTGCTGTTGATGACTGAAGTCTACAGATTCTACAAAAGAAAAGAGTACTTCATCCCTTTCAAACAGTTTTGAAAAGAGTGAGCTCCAGTCTATATCAGAGGGAGTAGAAAGGTGACGAAAATGTAAGATTGTTTCTCAAGTCCTTAATTTGTCATTCTGTTCATTGAATTTAGTTCAAAATGAATGTTATTTATATTATAAGAATATTGTAAGATACTATAGCATTGCTTACGTGTGTTTTACAAAATTATGTTTTTGATTGATTTAACTGGAAAGGTTTAGACAGTGAACATTCTTTCACACAAATAATATGAGATTTGTGGTTTGCAGAGTAGAACAAGACACAGTTGGTAGTATTATTAAAAGCCTGCAAGGATACCATGCAGGATACCACAATGCTACTATTTTTTTGGTTAAAATTGTTATAAACTCTTCATCAGATTATTTCCTTTACCAGTTTGATTTAAGGGAAATATCGTGTAATGAAACTGTTTTTGAATTACAGACGAAGGATTTAATTAAACAAAATCTGAATCAGGACCTAATTTATGGATCAACATCAATAATCATGCTTCTAAGTGTTTTGGAAATTCCAAATACCATTGTAGCAATCTGGGTTGAAGACATTTATAGATTCAACTCCATGACAGAGAGATGTTATCTTTATTGGAACACATGGCTGATGCTGGCCTGGGTTAGAAAGAGGCAGATTTGAGACAAACATTGAATGAAAAATGCATTTGAGCACAACTAATCTAACTTAGAAACTAAACTAAAATAAAGAAAATCACCATCGAACCGTTAAAAACACCCAGGTCTTCTATATTTCTGCTGTAAATCTTTTTCTTGTTTCTATATGGTACAGCTGGAGGCATATTTCTTAAGAAATAAAAGGTTTGATGCTGTATCCTGAAATCTCAATGTTACAACATCTTAATTATTTCAAAAGTCCTACATATTTTTTGTAAACGCACATTTTTGCTCCGGTCTTTCAGGAAACGTCCCCTCGAATTTCATTCTTTTTTAAGTTACTATTCTAGAATTTATTGAAATAGGCTAAAAGACCTGAAACAAATATTATTTTCAGGTAAAAGGTGCCATTTGGCTCATGAAACATCATTTCCATTGTTCATGACTGACTATCTTTATGGGGATATTTTCTCAAATATTGTCATCCTCAGACTTGGACATATAACTGATACTCTGCTTATACATCTCTAAACCAGCCCATACTCTTCAGACCCTTTCATACTCAGAGCTTCCTTATTAGAAATAATTCTTTATGATTTTCTAAAATGTTCAAATTGATAGGAAATATTTCAATTGTTTTAGGCCGTACGTATCAAATTAAGTTTCGTGTTCTTATATTATCATTCTGTCACAGGACCCTGTGTGTGAGTTGAATTAAAATACTTTTATATTGTGTAATTTTAGTTGTAAAAAAACAGCATGAAACTGTCAGAAAAAAAATATTTCAAAACTAGGTGAAGCTTGCACGATACACTTATAGTGTTCTTAACTGATCAACAGAAAAAAAGAGCTTGTTAATGTTAGAAATATCCTGTCTTAGTGGATTTTTGAGATACCTTTGTCAAGGGTGATAAGGTTGCGACATGTTAAATATTGAAGTTACGCATTTGCAAAAAATATCCTTTGTATTACTATTTGTTGAACACCCCTGGAGAATAATGCAGTTTTTAATGACTGCTACTTGTTGTCAACTGGTCTCATTCAATATGTATGAAATACCCATAGACCTGAAGCCTTCTGGCTGCTTTGAACAATAAACCTAGAGATCTGTGCTCCAAATTTCCAATGCATGCTCTGTAGAGCAGTGAATCATTGGATATTAATAGAATTCATATGCAGGGGAATAGGAACAAGAACAGTTTGTCTGAAAAGCAATGCATACAGATAAGGACTATATGACAGCATAAATAGGCTCAATACTCTTTAAGCATGTATGCTGCCAATCCAGGGGCTAGCATGGGGATTACTTTGAAAAATGGCCTTACAACTCGTGCTTTTTTTCTCATTTAATTTGCAAAGCGTAAACTGTTTTCTCCGAGTGCGCTCTACCCAAGTATTATTTCTGCACATCTGATGCACAGTGTTGTATCTGCTATATCCTTAAGTCCCTGTTGCGAATAGTGTTCGCCTGTTGTCTGATTTAACAAGTCTCTTGAGTTTACTGTATGTAAAATGTTGCTTATAAAAAATAAATGGTTCATTTTTCTCACAAATGTCAGACCCTATTTTGTCTTCAATGTTTACATCTGCATTCTAGATTTTTTTTCATTGTGCTAATTCACATTTAAGCACTCTATATTGTCTTCATCACAGGTATTGGAGAAATGAGTAGCTTTGTTTTCCTAGCACTGTAGGGATATATTTTCCCTTTACAGCAGATTTTCCATCAGCTCCTCTACTTCACTCTTCCATGTTTCCATGTAATGATTTGACTTATTCAAGTAGAACTATATTTTTCAAATATTTTAATGGTGTCTTTGTTTGCAAATGCACAAATCACATGTAATTCTATACTGCGCATACTGTATGTCAATGACAGGTGAGTTTATTATGTGGCACTTGTAGGTATTATGTAAAGATGTAAAAAAACGAAATAGAACATTAAAATCCAATACATGCGGAAGTTGTAATGACATCAGCAAAAATGTTTTATATGCATTTGAGCTGCCCAAGTAATTTAATTGGCTTTCACAGTTCGACAAAGCCAGTTGACTTTCATATTACCACTGCATTCCTTCATACAAAACACAGTGTTTGGCAACATAGGTGAAATTGCATCAACATTCATCAGCAGGGCTCATTATTCACTAAACAAACTATCTCATTGGACAACGCCTGCCTGTCTGATATGACTTTAAACATCTTAGCATGTGCCTGAACTGACCCTGGCATGAGTTTCCACTATGCAAAGCAACAGTGCACTGTGTATACAAAGCTAGGCCCCGGGTATGAAGCTTCTTGTTGTTCCCATTGTGAGAATGCCATTCAGGTAGAACAGGTTTCTGTGCACATCCATCTGAGGTTAAAATGCAGAGTCTTCGAAGTGGTGATGGTGGTCTGGAGGTTCGCACCACTGGGGCCCTGGGTTCAATTCCTGGTGTTTTATTTACGTGGCGCTTGTACCTGTATGTTCTCCCGGTGTTTTGTGGGTTTTCTCCATGTGCTCCAGTTTCCTCCCCCAGTCCAAAGACATACTGGCATATTACTTGGCTTCTGGGAAAGTGGGCCCTGGTGTGAGTGTGTCTGTGTATCTGTTTTGCGAAGGGCTGGCATCTCTTCTAAGGTGATTCCCAGATTCCCCATAACCCTGTCCTGGATAAAGCAGTTAGTAAAAGGATCGATTTAATAATAATAATAATAATAATCTGAGGTGTCAAAATGATCCAAATGTCTTACCAAGAACTGTAAAATAGGATATGTTCCTTATATGATAACCTGACAGATTCTTTCTCTTCAGACATTTTACACAAAAGGTTTCTGTTGACAAATAGCAGGTGATGTTAAAGAAAAAATACAATCTCTTGCCCAGACATTGACTCACACCAGGAAAATGCTCAATAGGTTGCGTGAGGTCAGAGCACTTAAGTGAACCTTTAACACAGTTCCTCCATTCTGTTTGTTCACTGTTCTCTTCTTTAGTCTGCTGAGTTCACTGGTTTCAGCTGCCTCTCCAGTGCTGAACGGTTATGATGAAGATATTTTCTTATCGTGTGAAATGTTAAGAAATGGTATCACTCACCTGTGGAGCAATAGCCTGCCGTCTTTCACAACAGGAAATATACAGTACACATTGTATTGGGAAAACATACTAACGTATTGGGAAAAGTGATCATTTCCTAATACAACATGGAATTTTGTTAAGAGAGGAGCTGTCTTAAGTGTGTTCTTAAATGGAAACATTCACAACCACTTTTTTAACTTATAGTTTAGCTAAACAATACCTAGCTACTGCAGCTGTCTTCAGGTTGCTATATTGAATATAAATTATGTTTCTGGAGGTCTTAGTCAAGGTTTTCTGAGTCTGAAAGATCCCAAACCATTTATTTCACTGCCATGCAAATAGCGGATGTATCAAACTTGATTGGCATGCAATGAAGATAATCTTTATCACTTGTACGTCTGTGAGCATTTAAGTATAAAATCTTACTGCTTTCAATACAACCAGATATAATACTGGAAAATATTTACAGTTCTATCCATTCTTTTAGGTTTTCATTTGTAATTACCTTTCGGAATGTCTGAGCATTTGTTTTTCACTTGAAGGTTGCATGTTACATTGTGTAAATAAAGGCAAAATAAATTCTGATTTCATCTGTCTTGATTTTAAGCTGTTGGGTGACCAAATGTGTTACCCTCGAAAGAGTGTTTAGACTTCCTATAGGCATGGTGTATATAAGTAAAGTACAGAAGTATGATGGAGTGAAGATATAGGTAAAGATCCACACTCATATGATAAATTAATGCTCTTCTACATTTGATCATTCCTACTCTGAGGCAGTTTTTGTCTGCCAAAATACAGGAATGGTCATCTCTTATAAAAGAAACAGCCATGATATCTATATCTAGGATGGATTCACATCATTTTTAACTCAGTTAATGTTTGTTTTTATCTTTTACACTTTAAAACCAGCCACTGTGTGCATGATCGGAGACTGCATAGCAAATTCAGGGGCTGCCTTTGTACTGTGCTCTGCTTGATGAATTTTGACAAGTAAAGAGGTAACCCAAGAAAACCTTCTTCCTCAACCTGGATGCTTCATTGTATCTGACAGTTACAGCGCCGTTCTTTGCTGTTATGCAATGTTTGATCACTGCCTCATATAACCATTTCACAGCTAAAATCATGGCTGATGTAAATCAGGACTCTAAAAGACTCTAGGGTGGGTTGATTTTGACAGTGGGTTACTCTTCGCCAAGACCGTGAAGAGTGTTCATGTACTGCATTTGTCATTCAGCACAGGTGACACAGAAAAGATGTAAAAGAAGCATGAAATACATGCTGAAGAGTATCAGTGTATTATCTCAAATCCCAAATGAATGTTGTACATAATGTACAGCGGTAGGATACAGCAGCAGTGGGAAACTAGAATAAAAATAAGAACAACATTGGTACATTTAAGCTCTGCTATCATCTGAACACTTGGGAGACACCAAACTATTACTATTCAGGTATTTGCTTTAAACTTTTAGAACCTTCTTTCATAAGCCTTTAAATATGGGGCATCAAGCAAGATCCACAACCGGGATTTTTTTAAACTGACTCGGGCACACTTGGCACAGAGCTGCTCTAATTTTCCTTGTTCCAATCTACCAAAAACCAAATGAAAAAGCACTGCTGACAGCACTAGAGTCTTAAACTTAGAAGAGCATTTCAGTTATTCGAAATCTTCAAACGTATTGACAAAGTCAAACTAATGAGCTTCTCAAGAACAAATAGTGGAACATGAACCCAAGAACACTACTAGAAAGCATGTGAAGGAGCATTTAAAACCATGAACCGGATGCAGTTTTTTACATGAAAGGTGTTGGGAGTATGAGACAAGTTCCCAGCTGTATTTTTGAAGCCCATACTTAGGCCTCTTTGAAGAAACAGCTGGGTGAGTTAGTTAATAAAAAATCCAAATGCGTTAGATGGGCCAGATGGACGATTCTCCCTTATTCTTATTTTCTCATATTTTGGATGAACCTGCTTTTTCCCCCAGTCAATACAGGAGTGCAAATGGTAAAACAGACTGGAAAACATGCACAAAAACACTGAACAATGATAATAATGGAAACATACTTACTTAATAAAAAACATAAATGCACAAGCCTGACTATCAGAATGGTGGTCTTATATGTAAATAATGACACTCGTTTCAAAGCTACTATGCTACCAAACCAAATATTACATTGTATAACTGTTTCATGAGGTCCTGGAATGTCTGTAAGATGTATAGTCACCCCCGTGCTTCCAGACGTCGAGGCTACTGTTTAAAAGGTGGAGAGATATTCCATCAGCTTTGTGAAGGAATTGTACTGCATACCTTCCAGAAAAGATGAAGGAATATGTAGTCCATATCTACTGATTATTTTCCAGAAACCTTTCCAAGGCAAAACTAATCAAAGTAGCTAATGGTATAGGCAGGTCTCAGTAGTACCGTCTTGTTTCATAGACCTATTGTGAGTATATATATTCGCTTTTTAATCACTGACATTTAGCTGACCATTAGTTTAATACTGTAAGAAGCTCTGTTAATTGTATGTTTATGCATTATATGGCCTATTCCTAACTTTCTATTAAGTTCTGTGGAACTGGTTTGTGTTAAAAAAGGCACTCTAACAAATATAAAGATTATTACAAAGATTTATTATGTTTATTACCACATTGATATACACTAACAAAGACACAATACATTTCTATTAAAACAGATAATTTATTTATTATATGGAAAATATAGTTGTGGACACTACAAAAAAAAACTAAACTATAACTAAATTCAATATCACACTAAAGTCTCTATACTGTACATATTGCAAAACTGATCTCCTGTTTTCCTGATTTATGAAGTGTACAAAGTCAAACCTGAAAATCTGTTACAAATGCAAACAATCTAAAATAATAAGAGAAACAGAAGATTTGGCCTACAATGAGGAAATATAAGGAAGTTACTTGAAATGTGTTGTCATCTGCTGAGAACAGACAGAGTCATTGCTTAGCTACCTACATACTGTCCATTCACATGTAACATGAATATGAATGAATAACAATTTAATTTTCTAAGATGACCACAAACATACAGTCCTTCAGTTAAGACACGAAGTAATAAACTGCTGGTTTCAGTTTCAAATTATTTTTTTAAAGGGTTTATTTCAGTAATATGCTCATTTTTTTGTGTGTGCATTATTTGTTCCATAGAATATAAAAAGCCTATAAATGTGCCACTATTTCCTTTGATATCTCCCTCAAAAAAGCTCTGCTGCATCACGGGACCAGTCTTGGGCGTAGAAGTGCATGTTTGACACAGGAGATGAATCATAATAGTCTTAAAAACACAAAGGACTGATATCACAGAATAACCGCAATTTGAACCCTAAAGTATGATAATTCTAAATGTTACCGATCTAATAAAGAAACCATCTATGTCTATGTTTGTTTCCAAATTCAAAGGCTCAATGCCATTCCTATACTCATACAGTATATGTGGTATACTGCCTGTTACATACTGAATAC